CGGCGGCCTGGGCCCATTGGGCCCCAAATGGTATTAAAACATTAAGGGGCGGGGAGCTTCGGCGCGTTCGCCCCTTCCAGAGCCCCCCCATCGGCTGGGGCAAAGGGCGCCGCGCTCGGCGGCGGGGGGGGGGCGAGGAGAAGATAGACGGGCGGAATCGGAGCCAGTTGGGCGCCCAGGTCGCTCTTGGGCCAGCCCGAGCGCCCTCGCGATGGGGCGTAGCAAGACTGAGGTCGCGGCCGAACCTGCCAGCTGGCTGCGTTTAGAACACTTGGTACGTGGTCTCGCGCAACGCTGCAAAGCGTTTAACATCGGGCTCGGTTGAGCTAAGTGCATCACCAGTTGCCACCAGGACCAAGCATTTGACAGCTGCAAGCGCAACGCTGCAAGCATCTGCACGCGCGCGCCCGATCATAGTTAGGTCCAACATGGGGCATGTAGCAGTGTCATAACAACCCCTAAGACCCCCTGAATGACTCCTGAATAACTCCGGAAGAACTCATGAATAACTCCTGAATGCTCCTGGATACCTGAATAACTCCTGGGTCATTCTGGAAAGCTTGAATAACTCTTGATTAATTCCTGCATAACACTTGAATATTTCCTGAATAGCTCCTGAATGGCTCTTGAATGCCTGAATAACTCCTGAATGTCTCCTGAATAACTCCTGAATAACTCCTGAATCGCACCCGAATGCTTTACATAATCATGAACAACTCCTGAATAACTCCTGAATACATCGTGGGTACGATGGGTTAGGCTTTGATTACAGAGAAGCAGCGTGCGCCAGGCTGCGCATGCGGGCATGACCGCGTGCGGCGGGCATGCGTATCGCGCGCGACAAACTGCGGCTGGCGCGACAGATACGTCGCAACGGGGAGCAGTTGGCTCGCGGTCGCATGATGCGCGGCGCATATCTGCGGCGAGCTTCATTTCTCGACAGTGATCGCTGCGCGCTGGCGCACATGCATGGTTTAAGATATGCTTGAAGCAGTGTGGCGACATCATTATCTGCAGCGGTTTAGGATATGCTTGCGACGTTGTTGTAATATGCATAAAACATTATTGAGACATTGTTGTGACAATATCGATACGTTTGTAAGCCAGTGTCAAGACCTTAGAACTTTTACTATTGGGGCAGTATTGAGACACTAGTAGTACAAGCTCTTCGACACAGAAAGTACGCGCGACATTATCCAGGCCAGTATGAGGACATTACTAGAGCACCCTTGAACATACCACGACAATATTAAGTGCTTATCATGACATACATATGATAATGCTGGGGCATGGCAAACACATCGTTCAGACATTGTGAAGACATCACCAAGGCATCCGTAAGACATTACTACGGCGTTACTCGCACATTATCAAAAGCATCAATCAAACATACACACATTCTAAAACCAGAGCGGGCAATCATCCAGCACATATACACGCTGCACCGTGCGCGCGCGCGATGCAGCTTGGGTATGTTTTCATTTACTCGGCATTCCTATTGCCACCTCTTGGGGCGAGGAAACCAAATTTCACCATTGGTTTTCCCCAGTGGGTTTTTGATTTAGCATCGCCCCATGTTGCATAAAAGCGCATGCGAGCTGCATTGGCGCGAGCGCGCGCGCGATGCAGCTTGGATGCGTTCTCGTGCACTCGGCGCTTATATGGCCTCCTCTTGGGGTCAGAAAACCAATGTTTACATTGGGTTTTCCCCATTTGGGTTTCGATTAAACACCGTACATTTTGCATGAGAACGCATGCAACCTGCATCGTGCGCCTCGCGCGCGCCGCGGCGCGCGCGTACGCGCGCGCGCGATGCAGTTCGGATACGTGTTCATGTATTCGGCTCTTATACGGCCACCTCTTGGGATCAGAAATCCAATTTTTACAGTGGGTTTCCCCCATTGGGTTTTCGATTCAACATCGTCTACTTTGTATAAACCGCATGCAAGCTGCATCGCACGCGCGCGCCGCGGCGCGCGCGTACGCGCGCGCACGATGCAGTTCGGCTTCGTGTTCATGTATTCGCCTCTTATATGGCCATCTTGGGATCAGAAAGCCAATGTTTACATTGGGTTTTCCCCATTAGGGTGTTCGATTTAGCACCGTACATGTTATGTCAAACGCATACAAGCTGCATCGCGTGCGCGCGTGCATGATTTGATACATGATGTAAGCATTAGTAGAGCGTGAGTAAGGCATGGTTCAAACAAAATGAAGACATTTATGAATACCTCAACAAACTATTATTGGGGCACTGTCAAGACTTTATGTATACTTCATCCATTGAACTGCTAGGGCTTCATTGTGGCATCAGTAATACAATCGTATGACGTTGGTGCAACTTTATGAATCATTTCCGTGCTTACCTTATAATAAAGAAAGCATCATCAATATTTGCGCAAATGCCGTAAATACATACTTCAATAGCGGTCACGCTTCATTAAACATAGCGAACTTACTACATACGTAACACATGTTTTGCAATTCCTCTCACACACATTAATAGAAGATTGGTTCCGCTTTGAAGTAACTCCTAGCAGCAAAACCAGAATCCGTTGTTCTGGAGCAAGTGGTTGCACTACTGGCTTCGTACTTCACCGCCACCGTCACTGCCGCCGCCCTCCGACCGCAACCTATGGCGCAACCTGTGGCGCAACCGTCGCTGTTGCCATCGCCGTCTTTCAGGCGCCGCAACCTATGCCGCAACCAATGGGGCAACTTGTGGTTTATGGCGCAATCTATATCGCAATCTATGAGACGGGTCGGGCGACGTTTCGTCGCGTCCGTCACCGTCGCCAGCCTTTGGGCGCCGCCGGAAGCGCGGCGGAACTGGGGCTTAGTCTTTGTTTGAGAAGCGTTTCGCATGACAAGTAGTTGAAGCATGTGGGCCTAGGACTAATTGCATAACAAAACACAGACAAGTGGTTGACAAACGTGTCTGAGAACTGTGGCCAGGAGGGCGGTGCCCATGATAATCACTTTCCCCAAACAGTGCAATCACTTGCCCCAGACAGTGCTTGCACTTGGGGCTTACTACTTGCGCCTCGAAATAATGTGGCACTTTCCTCCCGTCGGCTTCGGGGCAGCTTGTAGGGCTGGGCGACCGCTTAGGATCGCCAGGCGCGGTCTTCAACGTGGTCTTACCATATCGCACCATGGTCAGGTCATCACCATTCGCACCATGGTCATGACAACGACACTTCGCACTATGCTCATCACCATGTTTAAAAACCATCGTCACCATCATGCTGATGACCAGTATCGACATCATCGATATCACTTCCATTATCAACGTCATCATCATGAAGGCCATCATTACAGCATGCGTTTCTCATCGATGCCCCTGGTGGCCGTTTCTGCTTCGAGATTACTGTCTCAAGTAATCGGCTGACATTCTTCCACATTTCAGGGATGCCCCCCGCGCCACTTCCGAAGCTTCCCAATCCTAAGTCCCTTTCCAAGGTGAGGCCCATCACGAGAAAGCGCTTCAATGCACTGTTCAAGGAAATCCTCGTTTCGAAGTTTCGCGCCAAGTTCTATAAGCACAGGGTGTTCCTACTTCGGAACAAGCTCGTGAACGTCCAGAGCACGGCCAGCTACACTTTCACCCAGGACGACGATCTGGCCGCCCCTAACATCAACTGGCCCCGAGCCAGGGTTCTGAGTCTGAGCACGGCGGACTAGTGAGTCTGCTGCGTGGCAGGGCACGCCGTGGCCCTCCCCTTCTCGGACTCCTCTCCTGCTCCAGCCCTCTCGCCAATCCCATCCACCCCCCCCCTTCCCTTCCTCCTCCCTCTCCTGCTTCTCCAGCCTCCTTTTCCAAGATAAGTCATTTTGGAATGGGCTAGGCTCACTATAACATTGCTGCATCGTTGCGCCAGCCGCCAACCGCAGCCATCAGACAGCCCCAGCAGGGATTCGCTCGCTCGCAGGGCCCATGATAAACCCGCCCCCTCAATCTCTCCACGCCATCCCCTCGCGCACCTTGATGCCTGACGGCCTTCACTCCGCATCCATCTCTTTGTATTCGTTCCGGCGGAGCGACCCGAACCCAAGCCCACGACAATCCAGGGCGACTCGAGCCCAAGTCCGCAACGGCCCAGGACGACCCGAGAAGTAGCCCACATCAGTTCGGGACGACTCGAACCCGAGCCCGCACCAGTCCACGACGATGCGATCCCATGGGCTCGCGTCGTCAAGGCGTGCTGTATACTTTCTTAAGTTCCCTCACTTACGCACTCACCCGTTTAATTACTTACTAGCTCACTTACTTACTTACTTACTTACTTACATAGTTGCTTACTCACTTACTTACTTCATTTACTTACTCGTTTACTTACTTATTCTACTTACTTACTCATTTACTTACGCACATGCTCTAATGCGTGCCGTACTTCACTTACTTACTCACTGACTTACTTACATCCAATACGTTACTTCACTTACTTGCTGTTGTATCACTTTACGTGCTTCCTTTATTCAATTACTTACTGTATGCACTTACTTAATTTACTTACGTCAATACCTGTTGCTGTTTGCTTACTTACTCCACTTACTTACTTACTTGCCTGAAATGTTTCTAAAGCTACGGCGTAGTAGTATTACGCTCCCCGATGCGTTGCATTGGCTTGCATTGCTTGTAGTATTGCATCGCAGCGTTGCATTTGCATTGCATTAGTATAGCACTCCTCGATGCATTGCATTGGCTGCCCATTGCCGTACTTCATTCGTGAGGTCATTCAGCCGTAGCCGTTTTGGTCGAACATTGGGTTCCAGGGGCAAGGCGAACCCCAGTTGTTTCTTTCTTTCTGACTGCACCTTCTCCTTCAGACCAGCAGGAGTGCAGAGCTCGCGGAGGGGCGCCTGCCAGCGACGCGGCAGGGCCGGGAGTGGCAAGGAAGAGGGCATCCAGCGAGCCCCCCAAGGCTTCCAGGGCCGCCAGCAAGAAGTCAAAGCAGCAGGAGGAGGCAGATGATGGTATCCCGTATCTCGACGTCAGAATGGCCACCTGCGGCACCTGCCACCAGAACACTCACGGTTGGGAGAAGGACGCCAAAGATGGCAAGAAAGAGCCGTTGTGTTGGACGAAAGGCGAGAAGAGCAACAAGACGGGCCTCTGGGTACCGATGGGCGGTGAATGCGGTGGATGCAGGTACGTGCGCAACCGCTACTACGAGAAAGGCACGAGCCAACAAGAGGCCAACAGAAAAATCGCAGAGGAGGAGGGCGAGGCTGAGCGCCACCAGAGGCTCCGCACAGATAAGGTCACAGGAGAGTGCAAGTTCATCCACACTGAGGCAGTCAATACAAAGTCCAAGACCAGCGACGAGAAGCAGTCGTTCAGACAGGCGGCCGAGGAGGGTACCTGCACTCCGTGCAAGGAGTTCGCGAGGATCAAGGGGCTCAGTTTCCCGACCGAGAACCAACTGGTGGAGTACATCACCAAGACCATGGGTTTCGAGATCGAGGATGGCGACGGCGGGCGGGTCGTCGTCCAACCAGATTTGCCAGCAGGATCGCACAGGTACAGGCGCGGCAAGAGAGACGTCGCAAAACAGATGGTCGTGGCGGGGCACGTGGACCAGGCAGCGGCTGAACAGCGCCACGCAGAGAATGTGCAAGAGGGTGCCCTTGGCAAGCCTGAGCGCCGCGTCTTGAGCAAGACGTCCTTCCGGCCAGTTGCGACCCGCCGCCCGGTTCCGAGGAGCCAGCAACCCCTGTCGAGCACCTGGTCCTGGTCCTTGCCCAATGACGCCTTCGACGAGGATCCTGATCATGACCATGACATTGCTAGACTGAGCGACGTGGACTCCAGCGTCGCAAGCTCGACGATCCGCACGCCCGCGCCCAAGGCCCCTCAAAGGGTGGAGGGCTGCCCCCTGTCGGCGAGAGGGGAGCGCAAGAGGAAGCGCATTTCTGAAGGTGACCTGTCCGCCGCCGAGGCAGCAGAAGCAGCGCTGAACGATGCGGATGAGTACTTCTCGGCTGACATCCTGTGGAGCGGGAAGTACACGAAGAGGGACTTCGAGAACCAGCGCACGAGGCTGGCTGCCAAAGCAGCCAAAGCAGCAGCCTCCGTCGGGGTGGCCGACTCGGCGGAGGTGTCAGAGAAGCTCTTCAAGAAAAGCGTAGACACTTACACGATGAAGGAGACCCTGGATCTGTTCAAGGATCGGCCGCAGGACTTCGTGGAGAAGCTGGACGGCTTGCCAGGCAAGTTCAACGACATCTTCAAGTCCTGCTCCCAGGGGGCCCAAGCCAACATGCTGTCGAGCACCGCGTTCACCTTGCTGTCGACGGGTGACGTTGCCAACGAGGTCATGGCCCTGAAGGTGGCGAAGTACGACGACTGCTGCGACCACTTCTCGGTGGCTACCTTGGCGAGGTCTGGGTGCTCGGAGGCTGTTGTGTCGAGTTGTCAGGTGAACCTCGTGGTGAGCTTCATCGACAAGATGATCAAGAAGTCCCATCGCGACGACTGCGTCAAGCTGATGAAGTATTGCGAGTGCACGGTTGGGAAGCTGGGTTACGGGGGGCGCCCAATTGGCTTCCCCATCCTGGCCTCCCCCTCCTGCGCCCTTCATTTCGAGGGCGAGGGCGGGGGAGGGTGAGGCGGGAAGGGTTAGTTCATTGGGCCCCCGCCCCCCAAAAGGTCAACATCGCAGATTTGGACACGGGCAACAGCATGATCGACGTTGCCATGGGCTGGACCCCTCAGTGCGCTGCCGGCTTGTACTCGATGGGGTTCTTCGGGAGGGTCTTGGGGACCAGCGCAGGGGACAAGCTACCCAGGGGCCTTCGCCTCGAAGGGATTCATCTCGCCTCTCACAGGGGCATGATCAGCAACCGCCTTCAGTGCTACATGAAGGTGTCGGGCGGTAACGTCAGCCATGCCAAGGTCGCCTGGGAGCGCATTCCAATTCCAGGGCACGGTGAGGGAAACGGCGCATCCCTGGCGGACAACGTCGTCAACGATGTGGTGAAGTGCGTGCACGAGCTGGAGAAGTACGTCAACGTCCAGGCATCGGGGCCCGTGCGATTGCTACACTCCATTTGTGTTGTGTCCCCATCCCCCGAAGAAATTCCCTGGGTGCACTCGGCTTGGAGGTCACCGTTTCGGGGGCGGGGGCTTTTGCATGAGTGTGGGTATCCTGGGCCCCTGGGCCACGCGCGGAAGCAAGACAGCGCGAGCGCAGTGGAACGTACTTTCTCGGCGCTCCAAGACGTCATCATGTCCAGCTCCGTGGCGACGTTCAGCAAGCACATGGACACCGTCGACGACGAGGGCGACCACGAGGGCCAGCAGCTCTACAAGCTCAAGGGCGACTTGGTGTCGAACATCTTCCGCGCGCAGCAGGTCGTCGTCGACTTCTCGGGCGGGCTCGCTGGTTTCGTGGGCTCCATCTTCAGCGATGACTTCTCGAGCTATGTGGGCGTGGCCTTCGACTTGCACTCCGATGCAAATATCTTCATCATCGCCATTGGCGCCGCGAACACCTTGCTGCAGTTCGACATCCCTGCGGCGGAGAGGGCCGTCCTCAAGGAGGCCTTGCAGCGCTGCGAGGTCGCAGTGAAAGTCTGCGAAGCGAAGGCCCACACCGCGAAGAGGTGCGACGAGTCCAGGCTTGCTTCGTGGTCGGAGATTTGGGAGTAAGAGTCGAAAGTGCAGGTCGCGCCAAAGGCGAATTCTGAGAGCAGGGCGCATCCATGTCAAGAGATCGTCGATTGTATTTCGAAGATGTCGTCGAAGGGCGCGATCCCCTCCGTGGTCAGGTCAATCGTGGGATCACCGAAGTGCGAGCTCGCAACTCAGAACTTCTTCTTCGTCATTGCCAAGCTCATCGGGGCCTTGGCTCCAGAGGTTAGCGCGCTCGTCGAGTCGGCGAAGGCGCGCAGGTCCATCACGGTCACTGCGGAACAGGTGCTCGCAGGCAAGGCCGCCGGGTGCATGCAAAGTACCAGTGCCCTGCGTCTCGTCGAGTCGCTGATCGAGCCAGTGTCCACCAAGACCGAGGTGCAGGAGTGGAGAGCGGCGCTCATGGAGCAGTGGGGCACCTCGTTCCAAGAGCTAGTGGACAAGCTCGACCCGATGTGCATGACAGCCTTCATCAGGAAGTGCAGGGATCAGGAGAACATTATCGGCCTCGTCCAGGCCTGGACGCTCGACCAGAACATGTGGCTGGCGTCGAGTGAAAAAGACCTGAAACGCAATGCAGAATTCCAGCAGATCGAGGCGTTCATTTCAGCTCTTCCCTCCGCTGCTCGCATCATTGACGAGCTCGCGAAGGTTTCCTTGAAGTGGATTTCGGAGTCCCAGTCGCGTAGGCTCAAGAGTCTCATCGAAGATCTGCCGGCCATCAAAAGTCTACCTTTAAAGAAGGAGCCACGCTTATGTCTACAGTGATTCTCACGAACGCCGTACTTGTAGGCAAGTCTGTTTGGACATCTAAAACTACATCTCTGAGCGGCTTGGTGTCACCGTCGAGGAGCTGCCTCCGACTTTGCAGGCTAAGCTGAGCGAGCGTGAGGCTGCCGCCGCGGATGGCGCCTCCACGAGCGCCGCTGCGCAGCCAGCAGCATCGCACAGTGCGAGCGCTGCGGGTGCGAGCGCGCCACCAGCGGCAGAGACCGCTGCGAGCGCGAAGCCTAAGGTGCAGCTGAAGCTGAAAAAGTAGACGGGTACGGCGTGGCATCAGCATGCCACATACCAGCAGCCGCTGAGGTTTATCAAGAGAGGGCTGCAATGCAGTCGCGAGCCCAACTTTACGCACTGCATGCTATTTAGGGGCGCCATCGGCCGATTGTTTCATGCGGCGGCGCGCGTTGCCCAGGAGAGTCTCTCAGCTTGCGTAGCCCAGGGGTCTGGCGTTCAAGCCTGGTGCCGTCCATTCAGCAGGAATGGAGGCCTATCTAATACATGGGTTGCGTTGGCGCGCTATCGAAGCGCCCGCTAGATTCGACGGGGGGGCAGCTTAGGACACAATGGGCGGAATGCCACCTAACAGTAAACACAGACGCCACAAATAAACGCCCACAACACACGTCCCACCGTCGCGTCTCAACGAAGCTGGTCTGATCAGAGTTTGGGGGGTTCCCTCGCTGAGAACAAAAGCATCATCATGTGGAAAAGAGTCCGATTGCCTGACCTCCTCTCTCTCTCCCGTCCTCCTTCCACGTCGCCCCCTCTTGAATGTGGGCGGCGGTTTCTCGGCGAGCTGCCAATATAGATAGGGGGGCCAGCAAATCCTGAACCAATCGTCCTAAGAGAGGGGTCGCAACGCAGAGGAGGCGCGGGCGAGGAGGAGAGGCCACGGGGGTAATAGTTATGTGCCTCCTCTCGCGCGAGCGTTTGCTATCCCCTTGTGAGCTTCGCTCCTTCCGCAACTCGTTGGATTCCAAGGGCTTTGCAGCATAATTTTAGGTAACCCATTATATGTGCGATATTTGCAAAAGCTACGTTTTGGGCAAGCCCGTTTGCTATTTACTTGAATTCAACAAATGAGCCTTTCAAGCAGGAGGAGGAGCAGGAGCAGGAGCAGAAACAAAGAGGAGCAGGAGCAGTCCAGGGGAGAGATTGGGGTTGGGGAGGGTTTTGTTGCGAAAAACACCGGGACCCCAGGACCTCGGAAAGGGGGGACTGACGGGGGTTCCTTCAGCATAGGATATTCGTTGTGGAGACCTTCCTAGGGCCCACCGAGCGGATCTGTTCGACTCCAGTTCGATTATAGTTCGACGCACTATGATTCTGGCTCGACTCCAGTTCGACTCAATGAATTTAGTTCGACTCAAGTCGATCGGCCGTCGACTGGGACTGCCCGGGGACCCCAAACGGGGGAGCGATGCGGTCAGGGCTTCCTTGGGCGCGGGTCGCCACGGCATCTCTCGCACCATCCGGGGCCTTGCAGCGGACGGTCAATCAGGGCGCCTTTTCCCGAGGCGAGCTTGGATCCCACCTGCACATTGCAGGAGTCGGGGGCCGATGAGACATATCAAGTTGACGGCTTCGCCCGCGCTGCGAAAACGGAGCGGGGGTGGTGGGTGGCGCAGCGGGCGTTTTGCAGTGTTGCGTTGTGTAGCGTTTGGATGTTCTCTGGCGCGGCGCAAACATCTGTTTGGTCCTACGCCGTTTGCCAGGCCGCTCTATACCCTGCAACTGAAGCATATACGATACGAATTGTGCTTCATCTTCGCAAAGGACCAAAGGGGCACCAACGATGACGCGTTTTCTGTTTCCCTGGCCGCCAGGGGAGATCCCTCGCCGCCTGCGGGCCTCAGGTTCGGTGCGGAGGTCTTAGCCCGGTCGGTGCTATGTTGTGGGTGCCGACCGTAGTGGGTCATTGATGGCAGCCCGACAGTCAAAGTTTTTATATGTGTACAGATGTTTCCTAGAATGCTGGTTGCTGATTGATTATTCCCCAAACAGAGCTTGCATTTAGACTTAGGAGGGGTGTCTACTTGACTTAACCATCTCGGGACCCGGGGCGGCTGTTGCGGGCGGTGCCGCCTGTCGCCGTCCGTCGCCGCTGCTCGTCTCGGGACCAGGGACGGCCGTCGCCATCCGTGCCGCCCGACGCCGCCGCCGTCGCCGCCGCTCGTCTCGGGACCAGCGGCGGCCGTCTCCGTCCACGCCGCCCGTCGCCGCCGTCGCCGTCGCCGCCGCTCGGGGCGAGTGGCCGCTTTTGCAGGCGGTGCCGCCCGTCGCCGCCGTCGCCGTCGCATAGATGTTCCTTGTGAAAAAAGAAGCTTGTTCTACCACCCCCCCCGAACTTATCCACCCCCAGGAACCTATGCAATAAATATGATTCTGACCAAATGTCCATCCTACCTGTGAATTCATAAGATTCCAGCCAAACCGGTATCGGCCCCCCCCCGCCATCCTCTGCAAGAGGCACCATGTGCGCGCACGTGTTCGTGGAATATCACAATTGTTTTAGAATCCCTAGCAATAAATTGAACGAAATGCGCACGCATGCGTCGTTGCGCGCGCATGCCGGAATCCTTCACAAACCCTCGGTATTGGAATGGTTCCAACATTGAGTATTCAAAACACATCCAAAACCAAAGGGTTTCGCAACACGGATTTTCAACAAAAGCGTGCGCGCGCACTCTTGCGAATTCGTAAGAACACATCAGGTTCTTCAACACTTTCAAGAACATGCTACCAAACGGGCTTCGCTCGCGTGCATGTCAAAATCGTTCGAACGCCCTTGCGCGCGTGCCGTCGCGAGAACCCCTTTTCAACACATGTGACGCAGTGCGCGCGCGCGTCGTCGCGCGCGCATGCCGGAATACTTCACAAAACCTTCGGTTGCGGAAATATTTCAAAATCGAGTGTCCACAACACATACAAAAACACATGGTTTCGCAACAGGGGTTCTCAACAACAGCGTGGGCACGCGCTCTTGCGAATCGTTTTAAAAAACCATGCGGCCAAACGGGCTTCGCGCGCGCGCGTGTCGAAATCGTTCGAACGCCCTTGCGCGCGTGCTAGGGTGGCACGATCCGTGCCAAATCATACCATGCGAGCCACTCTCGCGCGTCTGCCGCACGCGCATTTCGAAATGTTTCCAAAACCTCCATCGCCGACGCGAAGACGCCATCATCGTCGTCGGCGTGATCGGCATCGGCGCCGTCATCGCCACTATCATCATCGTGTCTACTTGTCGTCACCAATTTCGCCACTATTGTCGTCATCGTGTCTACACTTGTCGACGTTACCATGATACCGCGCCCGCCCAAGCCGCCGATTCGCACTCACATGCTCGCTGGGATGTGCCGAGCGGTCAGCACCACCTCGGCCTCGTCGGTCGCGCCGAACTATCTGGCCGCTGCGCGCGCGCACGCGCGGGCTGGCGCGGCCGCGAAGATGCACCAGCCAGCGCCGAACACTCATCGCAGTCGCCGCCGCACGAGGTTAAACAACCAAGTTGCGGGTGGGTGGGTGGGATGTTCGCGCGAGCAGTGGAGTGGGCATTTCATTGCGAACATAAATTCATTGCGCCACATAGATTGCATTACGTAGGTTGCACGGCATATATTGCATTGTATAGGTAGCACCGCGTAGATTGCACCACGTTGGTTCCCCTTTTTCAAAAAGAGATTGGTTTTACCCCCTCCCCCCTCCCAGATGTATCTCCCCCCCTGGGAACCGATGCAAATCACATAGGACCCAATGTCCATCCTACCTGTGAGTTCGTATTATCCCCGCCAAACCGGTACCAATCCCGCCCGCCATCTGCAACAAAAATCATGCGCGCACGCTTGTTTTCCAACATTCATAAGTGTTCAATACTCCCTTGTAAAGAAAAGGGGAAGTGCGCACGCGCGCGTCGTCGCGCGCATGCCAAAATCCTTCACAAACCTTCGGTCCCGGAAGGGATTCAGAATCGAGATCCCCTAACAAAAACACATACAAAACAATGAGGGTTTCGCAACACGGATTTTCAACAAAAGCGTGCGCGCGCACTCTTGCGAATTCTCAAGAAAATCAGGTTCTTCAGTTTTTGTCAAGAACATGCTACCACACGGGCTTCGCTCGCGCGCATGTCAAAATCGTTCGAACGCCCTTGCGCGCGTGCCGTCGCGAGAATTCCTTTTCAAAAAATGGACGAAGTGCGCACGCGCGCGTCGTCGCGCGCGCATGCCGAAATCCTTCAGAACCCATCGGTTTCGGAAGGATTTCAAAATCGAGTGTCCAAAACACTTACAAGATCACATGGTTTCGCAACACGGATGTTCAACAAAAGCGTGCGCGCGCGCTCATGCGAATCATTAAAAAAAACCATGAGGTCTTCAGCATTTTCATGCCATGCTACCAAAAAGGTTTCGCGGGTGCGCATGCCGAAGTCGTTCGAATGCCCTTGCGCGCGTTCTGGGGTGGCACGATCCGTGTCAAATCATACCATGCGAGCCACTCTCGCGCGTCTGCCGCGTGCATTTCGAATTCTTTGCAAAACCTCCATCGCCGACGCGAAGAAGCCGTCATCGTCATCGTCGTTGGCGTGATCGGCATCGGCGCCGTCATCGCCACTATCATCATCATCGTGTCTACAATTGTCGTCACAAACATCGCTACTATCATCGTCATCGTGCCTACACTTGTCGACGTTGCCATGTTACGATACCCGCCCAAACCGCCGACTCGCACTCAAGAGCCCGCTGGGATGTGCCGAACGGTCAGCACCACCGCGGCCTCGCCTGCCGTGCCAAACTACCTGGCCGCTGCGCTTGCCCGCATGCGCGGGCTGGCGCTGTTGCAGAGATGCACCAGCCAGCGCCAATCAGTCATCGCAGTCGCCGCTTCATGAGGTTTGCAAGCCAAGTTGCGGGTGGGTGGGTGGGATGTTTGTTCGA